GGGGTGGGTGTCTATATATTGTCTTGCACCACTAAGTATAATACATTCAAACCGCCTCTTAGTACACCAATATCCTGTTATATTAAAATAGGACATTGATGAATGATGAGTATGTATGTCTCACAAATAGTTGATGCAATTTTCATTGAAAAAAATATATTGTTAGACAATTATTTATTCAAAATTAACAATTAAGTTAGTGTAATTTTATAATACAACCCAATAGTTCTTACACAGTGTATTAATATTGATAAATTATAATAGTTATACTACACATTTGTCTACCTATTTTAATAATCATAATTACATTCTGAGTTAACTAAAGTTTAGTGAAAATAAACGATTATAGTTGTGAGGTAGGTATTAAAACTAGAAATACAAATCAACTTACCATTTTGATTTTTAGTAATCACTTTCGCAGAGGATTTAAGTTACTGAAATGTCTGAGTTAGTGGTGTGTTGTGGACGTTCACAATCACCGTTTAGTATTAATAAATAATTTGCGAAACAATGTAACTTATAAAATCAAAAGCCACATGTGAAACGTGAACATTATAGTAGTTTCAAGTTTTTAGTCTATTAATGAATAATGATTGATAAATGATAATAAAGAAATTTGTTTTTCTTATTCATATCAACAATGTGAGCACTGAGCAGTGATAACCACATTTTTATTTTGTATTATTTTGTTTGAAACCTTACCTCAAAGCAAGCTGATCCATCCGGTCACACTAGTTGGTATCAGTATTGTAGTGATAACTGATAAGATCTATTTATTGGTGAGTGGTAACTGATTAGGAGAAAAATCACAATATTCAAAATTGGAAAAAAAATAACTTTTTTACAGTTTTAAGGGTAGGGACTAGTCACTAGTAAAAACTGAGACACTGAGTTCTAGACTTCCAAAGACAGTAAAGACTGTCTTCGCCTAGATACACGGAGTCAAAAGATCCTACGAAGCAGCCATTGAAACCCGCTTTCATCTTAACATTCTTAACGGGGCTGTGACCCCTTCGTCACCCAGCAATGGAAGGTACGATCATTGACTGTCTATAATATTTTTAGAGTATTTTATTTTGTCTCACCTATCGTTTCGCGATCGATCGACTGTCATGTCGTTGAGAAACATCGCCCGGAAGCTGCTGCCGTCGCGTCCACGGATCTTCAGCTCCGGTCTTGCTCCGCCGTCGCCGCAACATCAGCCTCGACGGTCCGTCGGCGCATATGAAAACGACGGCAAGACGTACGTGTCCATGTTAAATAACAACAACATCCGGGACGGCATCATGATATCCGCTTACAGCCAGTACGGCTTCCGGTTGAACAACGGGTTCGCGGTGCTCGGGCCGATCGTGTGCTTTGCCAACTCGATAATGGCTTGGCGCGTAAACGACGATCGGGACGTAAACGTCGACTCACTGTCGATGCTGTTCCACCTGGAACCCGCGCCCTCCGTCATCGTGCTGGGCCTGGGCAACGGGTCGCAGCGGAGTCGCCGCGACGATGATTACCGCCAGCTGCAGCTGAACCGGCGTCAGTTGGACAAAGTGGTGTTGGCCGCGGCACGGCAATACGGGTGCACCGTCGAGGTGCTGCCGGTGGACGCGGCACTGGCCACGTACAACTTCGTMATCAGTGAGGGTCGGCATGTGGCCGGTGCGTTCATACCGCCGCGGTTCATACCGGCGATGGACGACGACGCGATCACGGCTAACACGCGCCACATCCACCTGTACGGCGAGGACGTACCGGTCACCGACGTGTGGCTGGACGCGGATGAGCAAAGCGAGCTGATCACCACCAACTACCGAGAGTTCGGCGAAGTGGTGGGCGCGCAGAAAGCGGCCGACCACGAGAGGCGGGCAAAATTGGCCGGAGAAAAGGACCCCGAGAARAAGATCCGGTGATCTGCGATGACCGCGTTGTACCKTAGCTGCCTTTTTTGTAGTCGACCGTTGTTAAATGTCCCATTTACCTGTAATTTCCAACGTTATTGTTGTTGTACAAATATACATAATTTATTTGTTTGCCGTTCTGCAACTATATTATTATAATGTGTATAAATCGGCAAACTTCCATGACAATGCGTTGTTTTTTTTCTTTTTAAAGTTCCTAGACATTATGATACTCGTATGCATTGGAGTAACCGGCAAGGTCATATTGCCACTGCAGTACGATCTATTAGGTATTCAAGTGTGAAGACGCCAAAATTATACTTCCTTTTTGTCATTTTTTCTTTTCGGGAACACTATTGCTTTGTCATCAGCGTAGTCCAGCTACTGTTGTAGAGCTACACTCAGAAATTTAAATAGGACAACATAATAATATGCATGTAGAACTTTGGCGGTTATAACTTACTGTCGTTATGCCAGAGTGTTTAGATCCATAGCGAATTTGAAAATATTACGTTCTGTTAGGAATCTCTTGGAGCTTATAATACAATCTACAGAAGGCCGTTGGCCATTTATCGTGCCAAACACGATCAAAAGCATGCGAGTTATCCGTAAAAAACACACGTACAGACGTACATAACAAAATATATTCAAATACAGTATATATTTTTTAATAAGGAATTTGGTGTTTTTTACGGAGTATTTATTTTGTTGCTTTCTGGAGACTTGAGTACTTRATTTATTATTGTGGTACCGCGAAAAAATAACCCCATAATATGAGATTTTGTAAATTAATCTCAAATCGATACAAAATGTATAAAATACCTATTGTCCTATCACCCCTACATACAATTTTATTGTTATGTTCCCACAAATAATATTAATTTTTTATTCAATGATAAATTATTGTATACCTACGATAAAAACGATTAAGAGCACGGTCTGCCTGTCATATCGATCAGATATACAATAACTATATTATGTACAGTGACATTATAGTAACATATCATATTTTTATTTATATATTATTGACATTGTATTACAAATTTATACTTTATTACTTACAAATCATTTTTATTACAGGGTTATTTATTAGGCAAATCTGTTATTAGATACCTATATCATCAGCCTATTATTTAATCACGATGATTTTGGATTAGGATAAAATTGATGATTTAAAAATATTTTGCATGCCATTAAAAATTTAGCTGACGTACCATATAATATAAAATACGTTCATACTTMATTTTAAAATTGAAATAAGTGAAAATCGACGGGTTTTAATATACGCAAAATCATTTACAGCCTCTCGTATATTACTTGCTTTTTTATTCTCAACTGCAATAATCATTAGATAATTTAATCTTTTGTCGCCCACGGTTGTTAAATATGTTTTTACTCTTTTGAGAAATGAAAAAAAATCTTTCATTCGAAGCAGTGGTTATTTTTGTGTGTTTTTATCATTGAAATCGTATCAAATATCAATTAAAACGCCGCATTGGAGTACTAATGGCGTTCCAATTATTAACATATTTTAAGTTAACGCCTTAACGGTGCCGTTGTACGCCCTGCCCCCACCAAACGACRCCCCTGATTGACGGAAATTTGTCTGAAACATAAATGCTCGACAGATTATATTAATACGATATTGACAGACAACAGTATGATTTCAACTTATAAAGTGACTTGCTATAAWATAATATTATCATGAGTCATGCAGTCGTGAAGCCATGCAGATAGTCTTAGATCATATAGGCATTATAATATTGTATAGCAGATAGGCAGTGTATAGATACCTACAAGTTTCAAAAAATATAACTATTTATAATTTGTACAATCAGAACATCTATTGCAAAAATACATTTCAAAATGTAAAATATTTGACAAATGCCTATAATTTCTAGTTCTTAAGAGATTGAAAATTATTTCAATTTGACTAATTTAACATTCTGTTGATTATAATCTAAATTTGAACAAATGCATTGATATAATATCGATACTTAAATATGAAAAATGTTTAGGCGCATACTGAGGTATGAGAGCCTGATGTACCTAGCTTATTATATTAGTATTATTTATTGGTGAAATTGAGTTATTTTAACTTATTTCWYACTCAAACAATAATTCGTAATAAAATACAAAAATACAATTTGTTATAGACTCAATATTTCAACTATTTATTGTCGGCATTTTATGGGGATGTACAAATCCACTTCTGAAAGCTGCGACCACTAAAGTTAAAAGAAATAAGACATATAATTTAATTTCAGAGGTCACTGATCATTTAACCAATTGGCAAGTAAGTATAATCTATATAATATATTACACTTGATTTAATTAAATACAACAAATCCGTGGTAATTAAATTATGATTTATTTTAGTACTTGATACCATTTCTTATCAACCAATGTGGTTCTCTATTGTTCTATGTCACCCTTAAATACTCAGGTAAAAAGAAAAAAATAACTTAAAAGTTTAATTTTTGACATTTAATCACGCAGTTTAGTCAGTATTATGTATAGTTCAAACATAAAACACTTATTAACTTCTTATAGACATATCGTTAGCTGTTCCTATTGCAAATGGAGTTTCATTAGTAAGTACATCAATCGTAGGCACTTTGATTGGAGAAGAAAAGCCAAAATTGCGTAAGTTTATTTTTCAATTAACATTACATAATATTGTCATACACAAATTTTATTGATTATGTCTTATCAAAACAAATTTAATTGATTTATACATTTTTAAAATGTAATATAACATTTATAAGTTATAACATTCGTGGACATTTGAAATTCTCGAAAGGGGAAAAAACTGTCCCTCTACATTGCTATTTACAACTATGTACATCACTGCACTGCTATAGCAGTATAATTTATATTTTTTAAATAATAAAATAA